TTGTGATAATCATTTTATTTGTGAATCCGTTACATAAAATTGATTAACATGATTAGAGATATATATCTGTTTTTATTTCGTATTTACTTGATTAACTTGATTGGATCAGGATCAATGAAATGAGCAGGTTGTATCACGGGTATTACATTTTCGGATCAGAATGGTATTATAGTGAAAATTGCATATTGGAATAATTATCTTGTTTGGTTCTACAATATTTATTTCCGCTTTGAAGACGAACAAAAATAATTGAATGCTGATCACGTGTCGCTAATTACAAAGTTGTTTTTAGATAGCATTTGTCTGTTATTGTAGAACTAAAAAACATTAAACATAAAAAAATATATTACGTGTACCAAAATACTTCGTATACTACCTGAATTTGAATGTCGAATGAAACACGATTTGCCCGGAAAAAACAATACAAACAAAGTAGTACAAACAAAGTAGGGAACAGTGGGTCGCACGTGATATAGTAGCCAAACAGAGCATTTGAACTCTTTGTAGTTCTCATGATCAATTGATCATGTCGTTCTCAAAATAACTCTTATGATCCAATTTTAAAATGTGCAATCTAGTATTGTTATGTTTTGCATAAATGTTTTGAAATTCTAAAATAGAGCTTTTATGTTTTTCTCTCCAAATAGGAGCAACATTATACTTCGTAGTATTTATTGTCATTTTGAATTCATTACTGCAAAAATAATTATATCGCAGCATTTTTTATAGTAGTAAATCTTATTTCGAGAAGAAAAATATTGCAGTTTTTATTGTAGAATTTCGAAACATATTTACCTCATGCCACTTCAAAACTTCAAATTTAAATAAACTAAATAACACAATTCACTACTTTTTTGGCTGAAAATTACTACGGAGCATACCTGGGATGCATCATTTTTTGTTGCGCCTGTTTTCATATAAGGTCATGTGTTCCATTCTTTATCAAAGTGGTTCATGTGTTTGAATTCCATATCACAAGAGGGTCACGCCGTTAAAAACGTCTGAAAAGACCATTATTAGAAGTAACTTCGATTTTCAAAAGTGCCCGGAAAATTAAAAGAAAAATACCGAAAGGTGCGCCTTGTCAAGATGACCTCCAAACCACCTTCGCCTCTAGATTTTTCAGATTTGTTTGAATTAATTTTTAAAAAATATTTCGCTAATATCACTTTTCCGGTGGACTTTCCGGTGACAAGGGTTGCTAAAAACAAAAAAGAAAGATGGCTTAGCGGTCGTCTTATTGAGGCGCACCTTCCGATATTTTTCTTTTAATTTTTCGGGCTCTTTTGAAAATCGGAGAACTTTTAACGGTCTTTTTCAGACGTTTTTAACGGCGTGACCCTCTTGTGATAACGGAATTCAAACACATGAACCACTTTGATAAAGAATGAAACACATGACCCTATCTGAAAATGTCCTCAACCACAAGTACATTTTCCGTACTTTTCCCATTTAATTTCCACATCGAGAAGTTTTTTTGCTCAGCTGCTCCATATTGCTCTCTCCTCTTCCTTTCCCAGGTCTCATAGCTGAAATATATGAAAATGATTATTGTTGTTTTTGTTTAATACTCCGTATTGATTTTTACTAATTGTTCATAAATAGATGTTGGGAGATAGATTCTTAGATTATTTTCAAATCTTTGACAAATCAACTCTGTAATTGAACTGTTATTTAGCTCTAAGAGTTCTAAACAAAACAAAGTATGATACGAAGTAATAGAATGGATAGGAATGAAGAGTATAATACAAACTTATAAGAAGGTGTAAGAGTTGTTTGAGAATATTGTATAAACTCAAATTTATAATTCCTTGTATTAATCCTACTAGATGATTATCAAATTCGTTGAATTCTTTTTTATTTAGGCAGCCTAGAGATTCTACCTAGAACAATTAGGGTATAATTATAATTATCAAGAGGTTTAATTATATGGTTATGATTATTCTACAAATAAACCATATTATCAAACACTTTCACTTCAACAGATTCAATCTTTTCAACGTTTTTAACCTTTTCAACTGTTCTAGTTGTTACCAAACAGGCCCTCAAATGGGAAGGTTATCTTCCGCCAGAAAGTATGAGAATAGATAGATAGCAAATAGAATTGCTAATGATACGTGACAAAATCAAAAAATGCTAAACTGTTTTTCATGCAATGCGATTGTTGAATCGTAGATTACATCATTACGTCAAAATTTTCTATACATATCAGAAAGAAGAAAATAATTTAAATATCTCAAACTGTGAAGTGATGTGACATAAGTATCTTAAACTTGCACATGTAATATATATACCCTAAATTTTATATAAAAAGTTATGCTAGCACCATGACCCTATATTTTTTCATAAAGGTAATTTATGTTGAAGTACGGGGTACATAATTTTAAATACAAAAAACATTTATGAGGATGTGATTAAAATAAATTGTACCGGAGGTAATATTATTTATTTCACAAATAAAATTATAGAAAGTTAATTGCATTCTAATAAGGCTTATTAAGGTATTTTTAAATTATATAAATACTCCAACAAATTTGTATTTGTAAACAACATATAATCATGGTGTGAAATTAACTTTTATATAAAGTTTGGGGTGTATATATATATATAGAGGGCTGTTCTTGTACATATGGATGTACAGGAAGCTCCGTACGGACAAAGCCATCCGAATGAGGATAATACTAATCCTGATTAAAAAAAATTAAATTTAAGATTTTTATTTACTTTTCTACTTGGCACGTAGATTTTTTCCACCTAAATAAAAGATTTCATGTTAAAGATTATTGTTATATGAAATTTTTCTTGATATTTTGATAGTGCATAGGAGGCCCGTTATCTTCCATGTGCATATATATTGCTTAGAGCTAGGCATATTTCCTTTTGCCTCTCCGTATTGGTCTGTTTCTTTGCAAAGCTAAGGGAGTCACAATCCCTTGGATAGATTGTGTAGGCCAGTTTAGATTTTCTTATCAATATGAATAAATTCTATATGTTTCTCATTTTTATAACGAGACAATTTTTTGTTAATGCCGGCCTTGCTATTTTTGTTTTAGTGGTGGATGTGGTCTAGAATATTTTAACCCAATGTTTTAAAAGATTTATCTAACCGTATATTAAGCCACGTGGTGTATAAAACCTTCACCGACCAAAGTCTCTGGTGAGAGGATTTTTTTTTTATATAATGAAATTATTGCATATATGTACAATCGACGAGTTGGAATGTTATGTTGATTGATCTAGGAGTTCGAACTTTTCAATTACTGACCCTATATTCTTCAATTCTTCATTTCCTTAGTTAAGAAGATCGCTTGATCAAATTTGAACTTTCAAAGACCTTGAGGTGTTAGAGTAAGGTTCTATTCGAAATTACGGGTTAAGATGTTTTTAATTGAATTTGGTATAATCGTATAATTCCATATCAAACTTAAATAGATCACACTTAAATAGACTTGTGAGACCAAAGAAGACCAGACTTCGACTCTTGTAGAATGCATATGGAACAAACGTCCACCAGATCAAATCGATCAAACAACAAAATTTGAGTCCAAATAATTAAAAACATTCTTAATCAGACTTTGCACGTTGAGAACGTGAAAACTTACTTAGCGACTGACAATTTACTTTATCTAAGGTTAGGGTTTGTTTTTTACATTTCACATTTGGTAGATTTTCGTACATAATGTAATGTTAATCTGTCACATAATCTATTGATGTGTCACTAGCTACTCACTAGCTAGCAAAAGTGTGATATAACTCATATAAGTATCATATTATCGTATTTCAAAAACAAAAGTATAATAGATAGTATTTTCGTAGTAACTATGTAATATGGGCGGCCATGTACAAAAAAATCTGCAAGAAAATTTCCAATGCATGGATGCCTTGGATGGTTGCATCCATTGGTGGTCGAATGTATTTTTCGTTAACTCATACTCCGTATTAAGTATTACATCATCTACTTGTAACATGCCATTATAAAAAATGTGACAAAATTTAATTTTATCCGTGTACAATGTTGATATATTGTATGGTACAACTTTTATAGGTTAGGGTATTTGATCAAATTGTTAGAGTTTACAGTAACATCGTTATGACCCATCTGAAAGAGTTAGAGACTATTGAGACAAACAAAGCCACATACATAATAAAGCTTACCTATTTTGTTTTATTGGTCTTATATTTGCTTGGATCATAGTGCTTATTTTTATTACTAGTTTTACTACGCGCGATGCGCGAGAGGAAAATGCCCAATGCTATTTTCGTAATTTAAGATTAACATAATGAAATGTTAATGGTTATTACTCGGTATAATTTAGTTGTTGAGTAAATTAAGACTCATCCGATTGTTTTTCATAAGCAGACGTATCTATATGACACTTTATTGAGTACATGACCTTAATTATGTGACGATTTCATAATAGTAGAAGGTCTTATTTGCCCTTTTTCTCTTTAGTTGTTTGAAATTGAACTAAAACATTATACATAATTTTTTATATAACAAGAATTGTTAAAAGAAATGAGATTTTAAATTTCTTTGTCAAAAAAACAAGATGGCTCCCATTACAACCCATAAGAACATAATATTGCGTATCAACGATGTAAAGAGTCCAAGCAAGAGTAATGTAAATGATTGGGTTTAATAGTGAATCTAGAACAATGTCTCATTTTGAAACATGAATCCAATAGCCCAAAATATGTAATCCCTCTGCCCCCTTTTTGTCTCGTTTTTCTTTTTTGTCTGTCGCATTAAATTTGTCTCGTATCATTTTTTGATATATTCATGTGGTTACAATTCATTCTTAATTTATTCACACTTTATCAAGTTGATACTGACCACACAATTTCACTTTTTCTTAAAAGTTGTGTCACACCCTCTTGTCCCAAACATATATAATGAGACGGAGGTAGTAGTAATTAAGATAGAAGTCCAATAACCAATTATGATTGGGCACAATACCAGTTGTAACACCCCCATTTTTCCCACCAAAATAAAATAACATTTTGAAATGAAAACATCTTTATTATAAAACATATTTAGAGTACAGCGGAAGTCTTTAATGGAAAAACAGGTGTGTCACCGCCACACTCAACCTATACATGATTGAGTGCACAGGCTATCCACCATTAATTCAAGTAGCCATCTGATAAAACTTAAAACAAGTTTATGGGTTACAAATTTAAACAACAATAATTAATCAAACGTGTGCAACTAGCGGAACACTCGGGCAGCAAGTACATCAATCTTCATAATCATAATTATCTGTACAATAGAGCAAAGAGAAAAAGAGGAAAGAGACAAAAATTAGCTTTAGAGCTAAGTAAGATTCCACCCGAACCCGTAAAATAATATAATTTGGAAAATAGGTTTTTGTATATGTATATATATTGAAAAGTAGTCTCTCATATTTCCAAAATGGTTTAATGTCATAAAATAATTTCCACAATAGATAATATCATCCTTCAATTCCTCCAAAAGTAATACTTTAGATTCTTTTAAGAGTGGGCGAAACTCAAGATTCCTCGAGCCCAATGAGTCGTTGTTATCTACGACTCATCCCGGAATTCCGGCTCCCACCGACCACCAATTGGAAGCTGAATTTCTACCTTAAGTGTGCACACCCTCTAAAAGGGATTCCAAGCCCTCCGAGTAGTAAGAAACCCAAGTAGGCGGGATGTTTTCTACCACCTACTCACAAGGGACATTGTCCAAGGGTAAATTAGGTAACTACTACTACGACCACCAAAGGATCTTTGATCCTCAAATAAAAGCCCGGGATGTCTACCGGAGTATGTCATTGCCGGACTGGTTACCGACCCAAATAAATTTCACCAAAAGTAGTAGTAGCCCTAACCACCCACGCCTCGTGTTTCTCTCGAGACGTAAGAATATATATTATGAAAACTTTAAGTTTTCCTCAAATCATTATTGTCACATTTTCTCAAAATATCCTTTGTAATAAATATAAATCCACCAATATTCTTTAATAAAAAGAATATACATTTAATCATCCATAAAAGGTAATAATCCACCAATATTCATATAGTCAAAATATTCGATCCATGTCAAACATATAATTTCCAATTCATAAATAATTCACATAGTGCAAATATTGCATACATATAAGTACGAGGCAAAACATTTTGGTTGACATAGAACTTACCTTAAATTGCGATAATCTCCTTAATAAAATCTCTAGCTTGATCTTCACTTGAATTCTCCTTCTAATATTGATCAAAATTCTAAATCAATAACTATTCTATTATTTCGTTATTTCTTTTATATCCAACCTTTAATTACTTTAACTTCATAATTTCTTCTATAAATATTAAATTAATAAATCTTACTAACTATTTATTTCCAGTTCATTCTTATTATTTTCTTTAATTATAATAACCCAACTCCGTTTTTCTTAATTTGTTTGGTTAAATAGTTAACTAGTCCAATTATATTAACTACATAATAATTTCATTATTTTGAATTTAAATAATCAATTTCAGTTCAAAATTCAGTTTACATAATTTATATAATTTATTTAATAACCCTTTTAATAATAACTTGACTTAGGCAATAATTCGAAATAATAATCATTAATGATAATCTAATCTCAATAACAACTTTAATTAGTTCAATAGTTTATTTATACTAACTAACCTAATTAAATTAATTTATCCAATCCTCCAGTTTTATTTATTTGACTCACTAATTTAATTGAACTAACTAAATCAAATAAATAAGTTTAATTATATCAATATAGCTAAATACGTTAATCTAATTCAATTAAGTCCAATAATCAAATTCTAATCTCGTTTTAATTTTCTATTTTTAACATAAAGTCCAGAAATGTTATCAATGAAACTAATTGATTTAGTTAAACTAGTCCAATGAAGTCAATTAACTAACTTATTAAGTACACATTACTTAATTAATTTGTTTATATTCATCAACTAATTTTTATGAGTTCAAATAGTTTAATAATTTATATGGAGTCCAAATCACTAATAATCAAGGATAATAATTATTAATTTAATCACGCTAATTTAATTAGTCAACTAATTCAATAATTTATTTATTAAGTCCAAATATAGTCATTCATTTATACTAGATAACCCAACTTTATTTTCTTTTCCTTATTTTATTACAAACATCATTTTAAGTCCAGAACATTATTTTCAATCTTAGTGATATATTTATTTCACCATTAATATCAAAATTTCCTTATTTAATTACTTAACTAGTTTATATGGCTCAATTAAATTAAATAACTTAATCGTCACTTTTATAAATTACTAATCATCCATAACTATAGTTTGGGTCTGTACTTGACCTAGGTTGTCCAGATATTTATTTTAGAATTATTTCCTTTATTTATTCACTTAATTTCATATATCTATTAACCGGTTTAATTACAATTAAATATGCTAATTATAATTTTTATTAATTATAAATGGTCCCAAATGTCCTAGTTAGTCATATATTTAATCTAGCTTGCTCCCATATTTATTTCATAATTATTTTCGTCATTTAGTTAATTATTTACTAAATGTGTACAACTTGGCCCAATTACAATTAAATAAATTAAAAATAGCTAAAAATATTATTTTTCAATTATTCTTGGTCCGAATATGTATTTTTATACCAGGTATTTAATTTATATTTTTCCAGATTTTGTTTATTTCATTTACTATTTTATTTTTAATTTTTTATTGAAACGGGCCGAACCGGCCCAAATTCGCGACCCGGCCCAAGAAGACTGGGTTGTCTCCTTCCCAGCTCTTCTCCAGGTCGCGATTCCGGCGACCGGAATCCCGAAAACTCCGGCGAGAGATAACTTTACTTACAGGTAACGGATTTCGACGATTCAAGTTGCAAAATGATCCTCACGTCGAGGAGAAGCTCCGCCACCCCTATCTACGGCAAAATCGTGTCTTTTCTGAAGACCCGTTTCCACGGCTTGCAACTCCGGCGACCTCTAGGATGCTCCGGTGACTACGAATCGGTCTGGAATTTATTGGGAAGTATTCCTAGACCTCTCACGACCCTCCTCTCTTGCTTATAGGTAATTCCTTACGTAAATATATATATATAGGTGTATATTTCCGGCGAGTAAGCTAATAGCTTGGTGTGGAGATGCTCAGTACGCAGGTCATGTATTTATAGGCTCAAAACGAAGCTCAACTAGTAGACTGCTCGAGATTGCTTCGTTGGCTTATCCTATTATTAGCTTCTACGCATGTGGGTTTGTTAGTTGTTGTTCATGCAGGTTCATATGTATGAAGTCCTTATATGAATTATTTGCTATGTACATCTTTGTTTTGCAGGAGCATATTATTGCAAGAGCATTATTCATCTTTACATATTACTACGTATTATGTATATATATTACGTTTGAAAAGTCAATCTCTTAACATTGTTATTATGTGTACACTTTTGTACACATATCATACACTAATTCGTACCTTTGAATTAAAATTGTTAAAATATTAATTTTATTATTTTTATCATATGTATGATTATCACTTGTTACAAAATGTCACTTATAATATTTTTCATATTTATTTCTGTGTACTTTGTCAGATATATTTTATCTGGTTTATTTTTGTCTACTTTGTCAGATATATTTTATCTGGTTTATTTTTGTTTAAATTTTCAGGGTATCACATTCTACCCTCCTTAAAGAATGCTTCGTCCTCGAAGCATAAACTAAGACGAGAATTAAGTATGAAGATGAAGTATTATAGGTTTATAAGGTATTACAACCTGCCCCCCTAAAAGAAAGGTTACGTCCTCGTAACCGAATATTTACCTTAATTGAAAAGTTCAGGATACCGTTTACGCATATCCTCTTCTGTTTCCCATGTTGCATTCTCAGTCAAATGGTTTGACCAAAGTACTTTTACCATCTTAACTGTCTTCTTCCTTGTCTCTCGGGTCTTAGTATCGAGAATCTCTATGGGTTTTTCTTCGTAGGATAATGTCTCATCCATTTCAATCACCTAATAATATAACGGTTAACTTATATTATTTTCAATTTACGTTTGGCTCATGTTAAGTCTAGGATTTCTTACCTCCGGATTGATGATATGTGACTCATCTCGAACATACTTCTTTAATTGTGATACGTGAAAGACGTTATGTACCTAGCATATATCGGTATGTTAAGAATGTATTCTAATCGTAGAGAAGTATTTGATTTCAAATCGGTTGTTACCTTATCCAACTCCGTGGGTAGAGCTAATCGATATGCCACTTTTCCCACCTTCTCTAGGATGTCATAGGGTCCGATGAATCTCGGGCTTAGTTTCCCTTTCTTCCCGAACCTCATTACACCCCTTGTAGGAGAGACTTTGAGTAGAACTTTCTCCCCTAGTTCTAATTCAGTTGGTTTCCTCCCAAGATCAGCATATGATTTTTGTCGGTCTTGGGCAGCCTTCATCCTTTCTTGGATAACTTTGATTTTCTCAATAGTATCTTGCAAGTATTGTGGTCCTAGAACCACCTGATCGACCATGTCACCCCAACATAAGGGACTCCTACACTTTTGACCGTATAGAGCTTCGTATGGGGCCATTCTGATGCTAGCATGGTAACTGTTATTGTACGAAAACTCTATCAAGTCTAGGTTCTCATCCCATGATCCTTGCAAATCAAGAACACATGCCCTCAACATGTCTTCTAATGTTTGGATTGTTCTTTCGGTCTGTCCGTCCGTGGTTGGATGGAAAGCAGTACTTAACTTCAATTTTGTTCCCATAGCCATTTGTAATTCTTTCCAAAATTGGGATAAGAATCGTGAATCTCGGTCTGACACGATGTCTTGAGGTACTCCGTGGTGTTTGACCACGTATTTGACATAGGCTTTCGCCAGTTTCTCCATGCTCCAGGTTTCATTCATAGGAATGAACCTTGCAGTTTTGGTCAATCTATCTACTACCACCCAAATTTTATCTTTCCCGGACTTTGTTAAAGGTAAACCCCCGACAAAGTCCATTGAGATTGAGTCCCATTTCCATGTTGGTACTTCCAAGGGTTGCACGAGTCCCTTGGGTTTGCATCTCTCCGCCTTGACTTTTTGGCAGTTCAAACATCGGGATACAAATTCAGCTACTTCTTTCTTCATTCCCGGCCACCAAAAGTTCTTCTTGAGGTCTTTGTATAGTTTGTCTCCCCCGGGATGTACCGAGTAGGGCGTGTTGTGTCCCTCCTCCATGATTTGTTTTTTAATATCTGCACACTTCAGTGGAACACACCACCTTCCCTTGTATCGGATGCTCCCATCTTCATGTACCTTAAATGGTCCGTTGACGCCATCTTTCATTCCTTCCTTGATTCTTTCGAGCTTTACATCTCCCGGTTGTCCGTTCTTGATTTCGTCAAAGATAGATGGTATAACAGTCATAGTACATAACTGTATTTCACCATCTACTTCGCCATATTGCTTTACTTCCAAGCTCAATCTTTGGAAGTCTCGGAATAGTTCTTCTGGTAATATCCATGTTGCTCGGCATGAGTGCTCAGATTTCCGGCTCAAAGCATCTGCCACCACGTTAGCTTTTCCCTCGTGGTATTGGATTTCTAGATCGTAATCATTGATAAGCTCGAGCCATCTTCTTTGCCTCATGTTAAGCTCTTTTTGAGTGAATATGTACTTCAAGCTTTTGTGGTCAGTGTATATCTTACAATGTGCTCCGTATAGGTAATGTCTCCAGATTTTCAAAGCAAACACTACTGCAGCTAACTCCAGGTCATGGGTAGGATAATTGACTTCATGCACCTTTAGTTGTCTTGATGCATAAGCCACCACTTTCCTATTCTGCATCAGCACACACCCCAACCCCTTCTTGGATGCATCACTATAGATATCAAATCCCTCCGTCCCTGACGGTAGTGTCAAGACCGGCGCAGTTGTGAGTCTTTTCTTCAACTCTTGGAATGCTGCTTCACAATCTTCATTCCATTGGAATTTGGTTGTCTTCTTTGTCAGGTTGGTTAGCGGTCTTGCTATCTTGGAGAAATCTTTAACAAATCTCCTATAGTATCCCGCTAGACCCAAGAAACTTCTTACCTCTGTGACCGAGGTAGGTGCACGCCATTCAACCACCGCTTCAATCTTCGATGGATCTACGGATACGCCTTCCTGGGTGATGATGTGACCCAAGAACGCTACCCGATCCTGCCAGAAGTCACACTTTGAGAGTTTGGCATACAACTGGTTCTCTCTCAAAGTTTGTAACGTGAGTCTCAAGTGTTTCTCGTGATCCTCCGGGGTTTTTGAATACACAAGAATATCATCGATGAATACCACCACAAATGTATCAAGATAAGGTCGGAATACACGGTTCATTAAGTCCATGAATACCACCGGTGCATTCGTTAAACCAAACGGCATCACAGTGAACTCGTAGTGTCCATACCTCGTGCGGAATGCTGTTTTTGGTACATCTTTTTCGGATATTCTCACTTGATGATATCCAGAGCGCAAGTCTATCTTAGAGAATGTGCTAGCCCCCTTCAATTGATCAAACAAGTCGTCAATTCGGGGCAATGGGTACTTGTTCTTGATAGTTGCTTGATTCAACTCTCGGTAATCGATGCATAGCCTTAGACTCCCATCTTTCTTTTTGACAAATAAGACCGGAGCGCCCCAAGGTGAGACACTCGGTCTTATGTACCCCTTCTCTAACAACTCCTCTAGTTGTTCCTTCAGCTCCTGCATTTCTTTCGGTGCCATCCGGTAAGGTGCTTTTGAAATTGGCGCGGTTCCGGGCATCAACTCAATTGAGAATTCAACTTCTCTCTCGGGTGGCATCCCTGGAATCTCTTCCGGAAATACATCCGGAAATTCATTGACTACGGCAATTTGGTCAATGTTTGGCTCCCCTGTATTCACCTCTTTCATAAAGCACAGGTATGTTTCATACCCCTTTCGGATATGTCGCCTTAATTGTTGCATACTCATCAGCCTCATACTAGGCTTGGATGTGATTGCTTTGTAAGATATTCTCTTCTCATTTGGACCCTTCAAGATCACCTTCTGTTCATCACAGAGGATCCTGGCTTTGTATTTCCCCAACCAATCCATGCCCAGTACTATGTCAATATCTTTTAAGTCAAATTGGATTAAATCTCCAGGTAGGTTGGATTCAGATATGAGTATGGGAATGTTGGAGTATACATTTCCACAAGTTACAAATTTATCTGAGGCGGTTCTTACATTCAAGTCTATTCTAGCCGTTGGTTCAATCTTCAATTTCTTAATGAAACTAGAAGATATGAAACTGTGAGAAGCACCAGAATCAAATAGAACATAAGCAGGCTCAGAATTTACAAGGAATGTACCTGAAACCACATCATTAGCATTGGCTTGGGCCTGATTCATCACCATGATTCGCCCTTGGTTCGGACGGTTGCCGTTGTTTCCGCCATTGCCATTGTTCCCGCCATTGCCATTGCCACGATTATTCTCCCCTCCTCCTCGAGGGTTGCGGTTGTTGTTGGCGGCGGCGGCATTGTTGTTGTTATTTTGTCCTCCATTTGGCCCAGCTTGGTTCATATCTGGTCTTCCTCCATCACGGTATTGCACCTGGTGCACTGGTGCCCCATTGGTCTTTGAGAGACACTCGAAGGTTCGGTGCCCTAGCTTCCCACAATTGAAACATTTTGTCAGGCTTCCATCGCAGTTAACACCGGGATGATCTCTCCCGCACCTCTTGCAGTAGAAGTGCCTATCTCTGGGAGCAGCTCTTCGATCATTTTGTTGGTTTTGACCGTGGAAATTTCTTCCACCTTGGTCATCTCTCCTCCTCCTCCCTTCTTGTTGCTGTGTAGGTGGGTGCACTCTGACCCTCTTTTCTCCTCGACCTCCATCTTCGTCCCTCTTTATCTTCTGGTTCCTCTCTCTTTGTATTTGCTGAACTCGATAGTGAACTGCAGCTCTATCATAGGCATCAGTCAGAGTTTGGCAACCCAAAACAGCGACGATTTTCTGCGTATCATAGTTTAATCCGTAGATAAATTTCTCAACTTTGGTGCTTTCATCAGGCACTATTGTTTTCGCAAATGGTGCAAGGTCCACGAATTTATTGTGATATTCTTGGACACTCATGCCCATCTGTTTCAAATGTATGAATTCATCACGCATGGTGGCCTGAACGTGTGCAGGATAAAAACGTTTCCTCATGGCAATCTTGAAAGCTTCCCAATTGAAGTCAGGTTGTTGACGTAAAGTTGGGCCTGATGAGACCCACCAGTTATCCGCCTCTTGCTGTAAATAGTAAACAGCAATGTCAACCCTTTGCTCTTCCGGACAGCTCACCGCGTCGAAGAGTTTGTCAAAGAGTTGGAGCCAATTCTCGAGGATACGAGGATCTTCTTGCCCATGAAAGCTTGGAGGGTTGCGAGATGCCACTCGTTTTGCGGCATCATTCCCGTTGTTCTGGTTTTGATTGTTCTGGAGCACAGTAGCACCTAGTGTGTGCATGAATTGTGCCAGTTGTTGAACGCTTTGTGCCAACTCAGTATTGGTGGGCGTGATATCAGGGTCTCTTCTCGGTGCCATGATATCTTAATGACATAAAGTATTCGTGTAAGATTTTCTATATTTTACTCCTAAGGATCCTAGTTCAACTAAGGATTCCATAGGCTATGCAACATGATCATATAAAAATGTACATAACAATCATACAGAGGATTCATACTTCACATAAAAGCACTTTCACACATAATGTTTGTACATACCTTAGCCACTTCGGAATTTTGCCCTATGAGGCATTCCCATTTTATCATTTGGGGTTCCCATTTCTCAAATGGGCCCACAATTAGCATAATTATCACATACATGATACATGTAAGGAAAATAAATACTCACAAGGTCCTCACCACGTTCCTAAAAGGTCATTTCCTAGCTATATTATCTTTCCTAATCTTAAAAATATTTGAAAATCTCCCTTTTGAAGGTACAATTTCAAAGGTTTCCTTCAATGATTTTGAACAACGAAGTTTAGCCACAAGGAGAAATTCCCAGGTAGTTGGACGAGCGCAAAGGCTCAATTAAGAACCAACAGCCTTAGACTCTTATCGTCTTGGTGACAGAATTTCTCCATACAACCTATTACCTCGTGTTCTAATCCCTTTGGAAAACCTAAGGCTCTGATACCAACTTGTAACACCCCCATTTTTCTCACCAAAATAAAATAACATTTTGAAATGAAAACATCTTTATTATAAAACATATTTAGAGTACAGCGGAAGTCTTTAATGGAAAAACAGGTGTGTCACCGCCACACTCAACCTATACATGATTGAGTGCACAGGCTATCCACCATTAATTCAAGTAGCCATCTAATAAAACTTAAAACAAGTTTATGGGTTACAAATTTAAACAACAATAATTAATCAAACGTGCGCAACTAGCGGAACACTCGGGCAGCAAGTACATCAATCTTCATAATCATAATCATCTGTACAATAGAGCAAAGAGAAAAAGAGGAAAGAGACAAAAATTAGCTTTAGAGCTAAGTAAGATTCCACCCGAACCCGTAAAATAATATAATTTGGAAAATAGGTTTTTGTATATGTATATATATTGAAAAGTAGTCTCTCATATTTTCAAAATGGTTTAATGTCATAAAATAATTTCCACAATAGATAATATCATCCTTCAATTCCTCCAAAAGTAATACTTTAGATTCTTTTAAGAGTGGGCGAAACTCAAGATTCCTCGAGCCCAATGAGTCGTTATCTACGACTCATCCCGGAATTCCGGCTCCCACCGACCACCAATTGGAAGCTGAATTTCTACCTTAAGTGTGCACACCCTCTAAAAGGGATTCCAAGCCCTCCGAGTAGTAAGAAACCCAAGTAGGCGGGATGTTTTCTACCACCTACTCACAAGGGACATTGTCCAAGGGTAAATTAGGTAACTACTACTACGACCACCAAAGGATCTTTGATCCTCAAATAAAAGCCCGGGATGTCTACCGGAGTATGTCATTGCCGGACTGGTTACCGACCCAAATAAATTTCACCAAAAGTAGTAGTAGCCCTAACCACCCACGCCTCGTGTTTCTCTCGAGACGTAAGAATATATATTATGAAAACTTTAAGTTTTCCCCAAATCATTATTGTCACATTTTCTCAAAATATCCTTTGTAATAAATATAAATCCACCAATATTCTTTAATAAAAAGAATATACATTTAATCATCCATAAAAGGTAATAATCCACCAATATTCATATAGTCAAAATATTCGATCCATGTCAAACATATAATTTCCAATTCATAAATAATTCACATAGTGCAAATATTGCATACATATAAGTACGAGGCAAAACATTTTGGTTGACATAGAACTTACCTTAAATTGCGATAATCTCCTTAATAAAATCTCTAGCTTGATCTTCACTTGAATTCTCCTTCTAATATTGATCAAAATTCTAAATCAATAACTATTCTATTATTTCGTTATTTCTTTTATATCCAACCTTTAATTACTTTAACTTCATAATTTCTTCTATAAATATTAAATTAATAAATCTTACTAACTATTTATTTCCAGTTCATTCTTATTATTTTCTTTAATTATAATAACCCAACTCCGTTTTTCTTAATTTGTTTGGTTAAATAGTTAACTAGTCCAATTATATTAACTACATAATAATTTCATTATTTTGAATTTAAATAATCAATTTCAGTTCAAAATTCAGTTTACATAATTTATATAATTTATTTAATAACCCTTTTAATAATAACTTGACTTAGGCAATAATTCAAAATAATAATCATTAATGATAATCTAATCTCAATAACAACTTTAATTAGTTCAATAGTTTATTTATACTAACTGTTGGTCCCGTTTAATATAGTAATCAGTCTAGAGGGGGGGGGGTGAATAGACTGATTGGTTTTTCAACTCTTCTCTAAGTCAAAAATGACTTATCAGAGAATGTCTGATTCTGGTGACAGAGAAAGGCTGGTTCTGATATCAGAACTGGCCTTGGCAGCGGATTCTGATCTGTCCGGGTAGCCTCTGAAACACTAAGGCATATGCCTTTCTGATAACTCTGAAAACAAGATCTGCTGAACACAGATTCCAAGTCTTAGAGTTAACAGTTAATATCCTAAGTGCAGAAATATAAATTGCAGTAAAGTAAATGACACCGGATATTTTTATAGTGGTTCAAGGAACAACGCGTTCCTCTAGTCCACTGTTCCACTAGCTTTGAAGTAGATCGGTTACAAAGCTAATCCCTAGCACTTAAGAAGTTCTCCACGCCTTCTTCAAGCCTAGTTGTCACCCGGGATGCAGTCCTGCTTCCTGATGACTGGTCCTTTCACTCAGCTTCCCGGAAGTATCACCACTTCACTGCTGCAGTTACTTGGACGCCCTTCTTTGCAGAAGATCCTTTGAAAAACACAAAGTTTTTCCTCCAACTAGCTTCGTCACAATTGATGTGTTATGAAGATCTTGAAGTGTTGAAGAACAGGATGAACTTTGCTCGTTGTTGGGGATGAAAGATTTGGAGTTTGAATCTTCCCAACGTAGGACTTTTCTTGTAGAGTGTTATGAGGATTGAATCTCAAGAAGTATGTTCAGTGAATGGAGCAAAAGTTTTTTTAGCAAAGTTGTTTTTCTGTTCTTCGGTGTGTAGCTTATATACTGAGGTTGTCTGCCCGTTGGAGGAGGAGACAACTGCATTAAATGCGCGTACAGTTGACTTGACCGCCGTTTTGGAAGGTTTCTATTTGTATAATATATCTTCTCGGATTCCTTGGTCAATCATTTGCAATCAATCCTTCAGCGTATCAGGCTCATTTAATGTGCATTAAATGCTTTCCTTTCATGCACAGTCTTCTAGCCGTTGGATGTTTTTACCCGTTGGATTCATAGCTGTTGGATGTTGCTTGAAATCTTCTAAGTGTTAGTCGGGCTCTGATCAGGCTCTTCTGATGTGTTGGATTCTGATGGCTTACTGATGAGTTGAGTTCTGATGGCTTTCTGATCTCTGACTGAACTCTAACTCTGACTCTGATAGGTCCGCTGATGAGTACCTCTGATCTGTAACTCTCATCGGTTATCAGATGTCCAAGTTTATCAGCAACTCTCATGGTGCAACTCTGATGGACTTCTGGTAAGAGAACTCTGATGGAGCAGTTCTCATAGAGCAAGTTTGGTCGAGCAGTTCTGATGCACTTCTGATCTGATCCAAAACAGAGCAACTCTGATCGTCGACTACATTAATACTTACAAATGAAAATTCTAATACATAAAATCTAATTGGGGGTACTTTAAAATTCTAATCTAGACATCCTAGCATCATCAAAATCTAATTACATTTATTCCTTACAATTTCCCCCTTTTTGATGATGCCAAAACCCTTAAACTATTCCCAGAGAAGTGCCTTTCACCATGAAGAGAAATAAGTTAAAAATAAACTTTCATTTAGAATCTTGGTGGGCACTTGGCATAGGAAAATAGTAAGAGTAAGATACAATCAATCAGATAAACAAAGGTAAGAAATAACACAATTGATATCAGAGCATAAATAATCAGAGTGCAAAAAAGAAATAATTTGAAATTGCCATGCAAAATAGAGGCAAGCTGGTTATTTTATATAAAAGAGGATATTTAAAGCAACAAGAGGATAGTGTTTAGATATCTTCCTCTTCTAGTTCAGCTTCCTTTGCTTCAATTTCTTTCAGATCAGCATTTACCTTTGCTCTGATGGAGGCCAAGTTCCTTGGGTTCTGACACTCTGACCAGGCAGGTTCAAGCTTGCAATCAAGATAATTTCTGATGGCTTCAGAGATGTCCTTGCCAGGGATCACTTTCATGTGCCACCAATCCTCTGCTTCTTGCATGGAACCACCATGATTTATGATGATCGTCCCATCTCTATCCAGAATAAGATTTTCCTGTTGGAGAGGTGTCATGTGCTTCTTCATTTCTTGAAACTGAGCAGCATCAGGTTTAGCTAGATCACTTTTAAGCCATTGAGCAAGAGTGAAAGTTGACTTCTTCCCTTTCTTTGATCTTGGAAGAGGTGGTCTCTGAGTACCAGCAGCAATCCTCTTTTGTCTTGCCCTTTCAAAGTATACAGCAGGATCAACAGCTCTGGTGCTAGTTCCTTCTGCAGCTCTGATGGCTCTAGCAGGTTCTCTGATTTCTTCCCCCTTTTTGGCATCAACAAGGTCGCCAAGCAGGAGTCCAATTTTGGAGAACTCTGTAGCATTATTGTCTTTGATCGCCTCCAGAGCCCCAGGAAGAGTCTGGGTTACTGAGGCCAGCCCTTCTATCAGTTCCTTTTGCTTGCCCACAGCCGATTGAATATCCTTGGTAGTAGCTTCGAGGAGAGTCAGCTTGTGATCTCTGTCCTTTCCACTGTTTATCAGTTTGATGTCAAATTCCTTCAAGGTTTTGCAGATGTCCTCTACATCTGTGAGTTGCTCAGCATGCTTATCAGAGGACCATTGAAGATCATCCACAGCATCAGACAGCTCCTGAATGGCCTTGTCTTGAGCAGAGAGGGTCAGAGATTGAGAGTAGAGGACAGTGTGGATGCTTGCTACCTCTGAGGCTATATTGTCTACCTTCTCAGTAGAGGTCTTCATGTAGCTCAAGAAGGTAGTTGACAATTGTGAGAGAGCGTTTGAGATTTTGTCAAGTCCTGATTCAATGTTGTACTGTACCAAATCAAGATGAGCATCATGCTTCTGATTCAGTACAAGCAACTTGTTCAGTCCAGCCACCATCTGATCTCCAAAGTCTTCAGCTGATTCCACAAACTCCTGGAAGGGGATGAGGACAGCTTTTGGTGGTTCTGGCTGAGGTATATCATTGATTTGAGGTTGTGGTTGAGCAGGAGATGGAGGAGGAGTAGGCGTCTTCCTCTTATTAGACTGTAGATCCCCAGCCAATGATGAGGTTAGGAAGCCATCATTGTCCTCGGAGGAGGAGAGAATCCTCACAACTGGTTCTTTCTTTGGAGTAGAGGCTGCAGATTGCTGAGGGGAAGGAGATTTGGATTTCTGATGGTGGGAGCTCTGATGAGGTGAGGTTTGAGGGGTAGGGGTTCTCTGATGTTGTGATGGAGGAGGAGGTGAGGGTGAGCGGCTTCTGATGGGGGTAATCTGATGACAGGGTGAGGAAGGTTTGGGTGTGGGGGATTTCTTGGGTGAGGTAGTAGGTGAATCTGATGGAGGTTGGGGGTTCTCTGGTGGGGTTGATAAGGGAGTGGAAGGTTTTGGTGAAGGAGATTTAGGAGGTGAGGTATGGGGTTCTGGTGTAATATGAACAGGTGGAGAGGGAGAGTTAGGTATTACCTCAACAGAAGTCTCCTCAGTCTGAGAGTTCCTCCACTCTCTGATCAGTTGATGCATTGCCAGTGGCATATTGTTGGCAATTGAGGATTCACCGTGAAAGTGAGGAAGGTAGGGATATTTTCTCAGAGATTCCCTCCTTTTCATCTCCACCAGCCATTCTTCAAAGACTGGAATCTCACTCTCTGATAGAGGCTTGACATGCTCTTCTGATGGTGGAGCAGTCATCTTCTCTTTTCCCTTGAGGCTTTCCTTTTTCTTTTCCAACATAGAATGCAAGAATTGAAGATCAAAGCATAGTGAAACATCGTCTGTACCTGCCCATTTGAGGACTTCTTCTTCCTCAGATTCAAAGGCTGCAGCTTGAGCAAGGATTTGCTGCAGAGGTCCCATTCTCCACTTCCTCCATGAGAGTACCCTTTGAAACTGTCTGTCCAGAGCAGTAGTAGAGGTTAGCTGTTCTGTTGGAGACATGGTGACTTGCAAATCTGGTGCAGATAAAGGTTGGACCTCTGATTCAGGTTCCCCCTGAGCATCAGAGATCACCAGTGCAGTAGCCAACTCTGGTGCAGGTTCCCCCTGAGGTTCTGATTCCTTGGGGGGTGAGTTGGCCTTCTTCTTCTTCTTCTGCACTCTGATAGGAGATTGTGAGCTATCAGAGTCACTCTGAATCACAGCTCTTCTTCTCCTCTTCTGTCTCAACATTTTCTTGACAGGAGTGACTTTGGGAGCCACAACAGAGGTTTCCGGTTCTGATGCATCCTCTTCTGATGCATTTTTCTTAGTGGTAGTCTTAGGCTTCTTCTGAAGCTTCTTCTTCTTAGCCTTGGGTTGTTCATCATCAACCTCAACTGTAGTGACTGGTTTCTCCCTCAGTTGCTCATACTTGCTGGTTTTCTTCAGCTCTGCAGCAACAGCAACATGAAGTTTGGGTGAAGCAGTGAGGAAGATGGTCTTGTTGTGGTTGACTTCATTGGCTTCTCTGAGCGCTATGTTGACATTGGATATGAGACTAGATATCAGAAGTCCATGGCCCATCTTGGTGAAGAACATCCCTATCTTTTTGTCCTTCTTAGCAATGGACTCAGAGATAGACTGGAAGAGTACCTTTCCCCAGTTGATGTTCATGCCCCTGTGAACTGCAAAGATGGCCTTGGAGTTGGCATTGTTCATCTGGTCAGTTGACCCAGTTTTGCACCATAGGCATCTGTGCATGATGCTCATAAGCCTTTCAAAGTCCTTCTTCAGGACATTCTTCTTCATGTACAGTTTGTCTACTCCGGTTGCATCATCCCGGCAGTAGGTGTCCACAAATGTCTCCACAGAGACTTCGACTGACTCCAAGTCGATGAGTGTCGGGGTGTCAATGTCTTGAGAGTCGAGTTCGATCCCGAAGAACCCATTCAGTGATTCAGCATCAATCTTCAAGTCCTTCCCCTGGACTTGAGAGTGGATGGTGTTGTCAGCAATGTAGGCGTTGAGATAAAACTCAGCCACATCCAAGTTGCTGAAGTGCTCATAAGGATGAGCTACAATCTTGTTTAGCTGTGAGTCAATCATCCCAGCAATGACTTCTTTCATGATTTTCTTGTTTTCTGCCAGCAACGGCAAGGAGGACATGTCAACCTTCATCCCTGTGGCAATGTTAGCCACAAGCGCCTTGGCTTCCGATTCGGAGAGGTCGGTGATGTTGATGAACTTCATTTTCAGGTTCTTTGAGAGATTTGAGAAGGTCTGAAGGTTGGAAGTTTTAGAGAGATAGAGCTTGAGGACGAAGAATAAAATTGCAGTAGCGATTTAGGTTTTCAGAAGGAGTATATATGAATTTGGGTTAGTGGACGTTTGATATAATTTGCGGTTTCGAGGTCGCATTAAATGGATTGTGGGCGGAAAGCCGTTTTCCAAATATGGTAATAACTACCGGGGGTAAAAAGGTAACTTCCGGTTTATTGAACAGTCTCGCCCGAAATTTAGAGAATTTTCTAAGTCCACAGCCACTCTGATGAATAATATTCCATATATCAGAGAAGGGGTGTTCTGACATAGGGTTCTCTGATGGATAAGCGTATCAGAGGTGGTGAATTCTGATGGATCCGCATCTGATGCTTCTGTAACTCTGATTCAAGCTTCTGACGGATAAAAGCTCAGGTATCAGAGATGGGGTGTTCTGATGAGTCCACATCTGATACTTCTGTAACTCTGATTCATGAATCTCTGGGAAGATCATCCATCATTCCCAATTCTTCTCTCAACTTATTAAACCTAGCCTCTGAAAGAGGTTTGGTTAGGATATCCGCAAGCTGATCTTCAGTTGGAACATGCTCAATTGAGATGTGCTTCTTCTCCACATGATCTCTGATGAAGTGATGTCTGATCTCAATATGCTTTGTCCTTGAATGCAGCACAGGATTCTGAGTGATGGCAATAGCACTTGTATTGTCACATAGCAGCTTGATTTCCTTTGCTTGCACCCCATAATCCTTGAGTTGTTGCTTCATCCAAAGTAATTGAGCACAGCAGCTTCCAGCAGCAATGTACTCAGCTTCAGCAGTGCTAGTTGAGATTGAATTCTGCTTCTTGCTAAACCAGGAGACAAGTCTCCCACCTAGCATTTGGCAATGACCGGAAGTGCTCTTCCTGTCCAATCTACAACCTGCAAAATCTGAATCAGAATAACCAATTAGTTCAAAATTACCTCCTTTGGGATACCATAGGCCTGCATTTGGATTTCCCTTGATATATCTGATGATCTTCTTAGCAGCAACCAAATGGCTTTCCTTGGGCTTTGATTGGTATCTGGCACAGATTCCTACAGCAAAAGCTATGTCTGGTCTGCTTGCGGTCAGATAGAGGAGAGATCCAATGATTCCTCTATAAGTTGTTGCATCAACATCCTTTCCTTCATCATCTGGTCCAATTCCTTGAGATGCATTCATAGGAATTTTGACTGAAGTTTTTCCATCAATTCCAAACTTCTTGATGAGATCTCTGGTGTACTTTCCTTGGTTGATAAAGATGCCTTCTGGTACTTGTTTGACTTGTAATCCAAGAAAGTAACTGAGTTCTCCCATCATACTCATTTCAAACTTCTTCTGCATAACTTTAGAAAACTTCTTGCATAATTCTGGATTAGTGCTTCCAAATATAATATCATCAACATAGATTTGCACTAATAGAATATGATTAGCAACAGAAATTTGAAATAGAGTCTTGTCAACCTTTCCTTTAGTAAACCCATGGTTCACTAAGAATAGGGACAATGTGTCATACCAAGCTCTGGGAGCTTGCTTAAGACCATAAAGGGCCTTTCTCAGCTTATAGACACAAGAAGATTGAGTAGGAATGACAAAACCTGGAGGTTGTTCAACATAAACTTCCTCTTCAAGTTCTCCATTCAGAAATGCACTCTTGACATCCATCTGGTAGACTTTGATGTCCTTGTAGGCAGCATAGGCTAGAAATATCCTGATTGCTTCTAGTCTTGCAACAGGTGCAAAGGTCTCATCAAAATCTATGCCTTCTTCTTGACAGTATCCCTTTGCTACAAGCCTTGCTTTATTCCTTACAATGTTGCCTTCTTCATCTGCTTTGTTCTTGAATACCCACTTGGTTCCAATGACATTCTGATGCTTTGGTCGAGGAACAAGTTTCCATACTTCATTCCTTTCAAACTGTGTCAGCTCTTCTTGCATTGCATTGATCCAGTCTGAATCTTCTAGAGCTTCTTCCACACACATTGGTTCCATCTGGGAAATACAGCAGGTGAACATGGCTTCTCTTCTTGATGCAGATCTGGTCCTTACTCCACTGGTAACTTGACCAATCACTTGATTAGGAGGATGGTCTCTTAACCAAGTTAGATCAGGTTCTGATAGTTGCTGTCTAGGCAACTCTGATGGTTCATCTTCTGATTCTTCATCTTCATCTTTGTCTATCAGAATTGGATTAGCAGGAGGGATTGATAAAACAGGATTGATGGTGACCTCTTCGGATGGTTCTGAACTTTTGTCATCAAGATTGATCTTCTGCAGGGTTTCTGATATTTCTTCAGCAGAGGTGCTGTCATCAAACTTGACATGAATGGATTCTTCAACTTGTATAGTTCTCCTGTTGAGTACTCTATAGGCTTTGCTTGAGCTTGAATAGCCTAAGAATACACCTTCATCAGCTTTTTCTTGAAATACTTTCAGATTCTCCTTTCCATTGTTTAGAATATAGCACTTGCATCCAAACACATGGAAGTAGCTGATGTTTGGCTTTCTTCCTTTCCACAGCTCATAGGGTGTCTTCTGATGGTTCTTGTGGATCATGCTTCTATTCTGAGTGTAGCATGCAGTGTTGATTGCTTCAGCCCAGTATCTGATGGGCAGTCCTGATTCAGCAATCATGGTCCTTGCGGCTTCTTTCAGTGTTCTGTTCCTTCTTTCTGCAACACCATTTTGTTGGGGTGTTCTGGCAGCAGAGAGTTGATGGAATGTGCCATTCTGATCACAGAAGTCCTTGATCACCTTGTTGACAAATTCAGTTCCTCTGTCAGATCTGATTGTCCTGACCTTCATGTTCTTCTCAGTCTGAAGTTGCTTTAACAGAGATGGTAACTTCTGAAGAGTTTCATTCTTCTTAGTTAGGAACACAGTCCATGTGTATCTTGAGTAGTCATCAACCATGACAAGAGTATATCTTTTTCCACCAACACTGGGAGTTTCAACTGGTCCAAATAAATCCATGTGGATCAGATTTAGAGGACAAATAGAAAGATCTCCAGCTATGGGTTTGAATGAGGTCTTCACTTGTTTGCCTTTCTGACAAGCACTGCAGAGGGTCTCCTTCTTGTAGACAATGTCAGGAAGACCATCTACAATGTGTTCTCTTGCCAGTTTGTTGATGGTTTTGAAATTCAGGTGGCTAAGCTTCTTGTGTCAGTCCCAGCTTAGCTTTGAAATGTCCTTTGCTATCAGACAGGTTCCATCTTTTGCTGTTTGCCAGTCAACAACATAGATGTTCTTTCTTCTCTTGGCTGTAAGAACCACCTTTTTGGTTGTCTCATGCTTGACATAGCATAAGGTCTTGGTGAATTCAACTGTGTAGCCTTTGTCACAGAATTGGCTAGCACTCAGCAAGTTGAACTTCAGACCCTTGACATATGAGACATCTTCAATGACTATCTGGTTCTTGATCAGCTTTCCTCTTCCTTTTGTTTGACCATCCTTGTCATTTCCTCCAAAAGTGACTCGGGGTCCATTGTATTTCTGGAACTCTGATAGGCAACTCTTGTCACCTATCATGTGTCTGGAGCATCCGCTGTCTATAAACCATTCTTGTTCTGAGATAGCTCCAGCACACAGTTCCTGCAAGATTAAAAGGAAGATTTAGGTACCCAAGCAATGTTGGGTCCTGGGGGGTAATGCAGTCTTGGAAGTTGGTACCATTTTGGTCTCATCAACTGAAACCTTGGTGGATGGTACCCATTGTCCACCTGGTAGTTGTAGTAAACAGATGTATGATTCACTTTGGGCAGATGCTTGTGAGGATCATGCTTTCTGTTTGCATACTTTTGCATAGCCTTCTTTGTTGGAAAGAAGTCCCATATACTATCAAGATCAGAGGGGCGCTTAACTTTAGGCTTCTGAGGTTGACCAGACAACCTCTTCTGCCTATAGTTAATCTTCTCCTGATATCTGCCTTTCTGATAGCAGTTTCTGATACCATTGTTATGAGATTGTCTGATAGGATTAGGCCTTTGATTATTGTTTTTCTGAAAACTCTTCCTTTTGTTAGAATTTCTGCCAGGTTCATTAGTTTTCAAACTGTGTTTTGGTTTGGCCTTTAGAGTTTGTTTCTCTGGTATGACCTTCTCATGAGCAACTTTAGTACCAGAAGTACTAGCATGGCAAATGGGGCTGCAAGTCTGTGAAATTATGACCTTTTTGGCTTTAGCAACTTGGGTGCTAGGCCTTACAGAAGATTCACCAGACTTGAGTTCAACATATCCAAGACCAGGGGTAGAGTTGTGAAAGTCATTGATACCCTTCATAGAAGACTGCATCTTCAGAAGGCTATTGTATCTGACTTCAAGATGTTCAATCTCTCTTATTCTCTTTAGAAGGGACTCATTTTCAGCTTTCAGCTTACTGTTCTCTTCTTTAATAAAGGAATAAGATCCTTGGATAGTCTTGAACTCTTCCCAAAATGATGACATTGGATCATCATTTAAGGCTGTGCCTACCGAAGAAGAGATAGAATCAGCTGTAGAACATACCTCATCATCTGATTGTGCCATGAGGCAAAGGTCTTCAGTTTCTGCATCCAAGCAGCAGAAAGCTTCATCAGAGTCGGAGTCTGAGCTGGACTCTGATTCAGAGAGTGGATCTCTCTCAGCTTGTTCTGAGACAAAAGCTCTTCTTCTTCTATGTTGATCATCAGGTTTCTTTTCTTCTTCTTGTCCTTGCTTCTTGGACACTCTTGGATAGGGGCAGTTTGCTTTGAAGTGCCCAGGCTGTCTGCAGTTGTGGCAGAGGTACTCTCCATTGCTTTCAGAAGATTTGGTCTTCTGATGTGGTCTTCTGATGGAAGATGGACTCCTTCCATCTTTCTTCATAAATTTTCTGAATTTTCTGGCAAAGGCAGCCATATATTCATCAGATAGAAGAGTTGAGGGATCAAAATTTGTAGCCTTAGAAGTGCTGGCAGTAAGAGCAGTTGTGGTTCTCTCATCTGGCACTTCTTCTTTCTCATCATGCATCTCAAACTCATAAGCTTTGAGATCAGATATCAGTTTCTCTGTGGGATAGGTTTTGATGTCCTTGCTTTCTTGGACAGCAATAACCTTCATCTTCCAGACTGGGGGCAGTCCTCTGAGAATCTTCAGGTTGACTTCTTTAACTGTGAGCTCCTTCCCAAGCTCGGATATCTCACTGGTAAGAATCAGAAGTCTGGCATGCATCTCAGCTATGCATTCCTCAGGTAGAAGTTTGAAGTCATCAAACTTCTTCATAGCTATTGTCAGTTTGTTGTCTCTCTCTTGTTCATCACCTGCTCCTATGAGATCAAGTTTGTCCCATATTTCTTTGGCAGTTCGACACTTCTTGATTCTGTTGAAGTATCTGTTGTCGATGGCTTTGTAGAGGATATCTTTGGCAATATTGTCAAGATTGTACTGTCTCCTCTCTTCCTTTGTCCATTCTGATCTGGCTTTCTCAATCATCTCAGGCTGAGTCCTGTCAATAGTATGCTCAGTATTCACCTTCATAAATTTGGTGAAAGGTCCTTCTTCAAGGACTTCCCACATTTCATCATGAAGAGCGCAGAGGTGTGCTTTCATTCTGATCTTCCAGTCATCATACTTCTGATCTGAAAACATGAGGTGCTTTGCAAGAGAGTTATCCATAATAGTAAGTAAATAGAGGCTAAGAACAAGTGGATCTTTTGTTCAGAGAGTAACCTAAAAGATTACAAGAACAAGGAGGCTCTGATACCACTTGTTGGTCCCGTTTAATATAGTAATCAGTCTAGAGGGGGGGGTGAATAGACTGATTGGTTTTTCAACTTTTCTCTAAGTCAAAAATGACTTATCAGAGAATGTCTGATTCTGGTGACAGAGAAAGGCTGGTTCTGATATCAGAACTGGCCTTGGCAGCGGATTCTGATCTGTCCGGGTAGCCTCTGAAACACTAAGGCATATGCCTTTCTGATAACTCTGAAAACAAGATCTGCTGAACACAGATTCCAAGTCTTAGAGTTAACAGTTAATATCCTAAGTGCAGAAATATAAATTGCAGTAAAGTAAATGACACCGGATATTTTTATAGTGGTTCAAGGAACAACGCGTTCCTCTAGTCCACTGTTCCACTAGCTTTGAAGTAGATCGGTTACAAAGCCAATCCCTAGCACTTAAGAAGTTCTCCACGCCTTCTTCAAGCCTAGTTGTCACCCGGGATGCAGTCCTGCTTCCTGATGACTGGTCCTTTCACTCAGCTTCCCGGAAGTATCACCACTTCACTGCTGCAGTTACTTGGACGCCCTTCTTTGCAGAAGATCCTTTGAAAAACACAAAGTTTTTCCTCCAACTAGCTTCGTCACAATTGATGTGTTATGAAGATCTTGAAGTGTTGAAGAACAGGATGAACTTTGCTCGTTGTTGGGGATGAAAGATTTGGAGTTTGAATCTTCCCAACGTAGGACTTTTCTTGTAGAGTGTTATGAGGATTGAATCTCAAGAAGTATGTTCAGTAAATGGAGCAAAAGTTTTTTTAGCAAAGTTGTTTTTCTGTTCTTCGGTGTGTAGCTTATATACTGAGGTTGTCTGCCCGTTGGAGGAGGAGACAACTGCATTAAATGCGCGTACAGTTGACTTGACCGCCGTTTTGGAAGGTTTCTATTTTTATAATATATCTTCCCGGATTCCTTGGTCAATCATTTGCAATCAATCCTTCAGCGTATCAGGCTCATTTAATGTGCATTAAATGCTTTCCTTTCATGCACAGTCTTCTAGCCGTTGGATGTTTTTACCCGTTGGATTCATAGCTGTTGGATGTTGCTTGAAATCTTCTAAGTGTTAGTCGGGCTCTGATCAGGCTCTTCTGATGTGTTGGATTCTGATGGCTTACTGATGAGTTGAGTTCTGATGGCTTTCTGATCTCTGACTGAACTCTAACTCTGACTCTGATAGGTCCGCTGATGAGTACCTCTGATCTGTAACTCTCATCGGTTATCAGATGTCCAAGTTTATCAGCAACTCTCATGGTGCAACTCTGATGGACTTCTGGTAAGAGAACTCTGATGGAGCAGTTCTCATAGAGCAAGTTTGGTCGAGCAGTTCTGATGCACTTCTGATCTGATCCAAAACAGAGCAACTCTGATCGTCGACTACACTAATACTTACAAATGAAAATTCTAATACATAAAATCTAATTGGGGGTACTTTAAAATTCTAATCTAGACATCCTAGCATCATCAAAATCTAATTACATTTATTCCTTACACTAACTAACCTAATTAAATTAATTTATCCAATCCTCCAGTTTTATTTATTTGACTCACTAATTTAATTGAACTAACTAAATCAAATAAATAAGTTTAATTATATCAATATAGCTAAATACGTTAATCTAATTCAATTAAGTCCAATAATCAAATTCTAATCTCGTTTTAATTTTCTATTTTTAACATAAAGTCCAGAAATGTTATCAAGTCTATAAATTAACTAATTTATCCATTAAACTAATTGATTTAGTTAAACTAGTCCAATGAAGTCAATTAACTAACTTATTAAGTACACATTACTTAATTAATTTGTTTATATTCATCAACTAATTTTTATGAGTTCAAATAGTTTAATAATTTATATGGAGTCCAAATCACTAATAATCAAGGATAATAATTATTAATTTAATCACGCTAATTTAATTAGTCAACTAATTCAATAATTTATTTATTAAGTCCAAATATAGTCATTCATTTATACTAGATAACCCAACTTTATTTTCTTTTCCTTATTTTATTACAAACATCATTTTAAGTCCAGAACATTATTTTCAATCTTAGTGATATATTTATTTCACCATTAATATCAAAATTTCCTTATTTAATTACTTAACTAGTTTATATGGCTCAATTAAATTAAATAACTTAATCGTCACTTTTATAAATTACTAATCATCCATAACTATAGTTTGGGTCTATACTTGACCTAGGTTTTCCAGATATTTATTTTAGAATTATTTCCTTTATTTATTCACTTAATTTCATATATCTATTAACCGGTTTAATTACAATTAAATATGCTAATTATAATTTTTATTAATTATAAATGGTCCCAAATGTCCTAGTTAGTCATATATTTAATCTAGCTTGCTCCCATATTTATTTCATAATTATTTTCGTCATTTAGTTAATTATTTACTAAATGTGTACAACTTGGCCCAATTACAATTAAATCAATTAAAAATAGCTAAAAATATTATTTTTCAATTATTCTTGGTCCGAATATGTATTTTTATACCAGGTATTTAATTTATATTTTTCCAGATTTTGTTTATTTCATTTACTATTTTATTTTTAATTTTTTATTGAAAACGGGCCGAACCGGCCCAAATTCGCGACCCGGCCCAAGAAGACTGGGTTGTCTCCTTCCCAGCTCTTCTCCAGGTCGCGATTCCGGCGACCGGAATCCCGAAAACTCCGGCGAGCGATAACTTTACTTACAGGTAACGGATTTCGACGATTCAAGTTGCAAAATGATCCTCACGTCGAGGAGAAGCTCCGCCACCCCTATCTACGGCAAAATCGTGTCTTTTCTGAAGACCCGTTTCCACGGCTTGCAACTCCGGCGACCTCTAGGATGCTCCGGTGACTACGAATCGGTCTGGAATTTATTGGGAAGTATTCCTAGACCTCTCACGACCCTCCTCTCTTGCTTATAGGTAATTCCTTACGTAAATATATATAGGTGTATATTTCCGGCGAGTAAGCTAATAGCTTGGTGTGGAGATGCTCAGTACGCAGGTCATGTATTTATAGGCTCAAAACGAAGCTCAACTAGTAGACTGCTCGAGATTGCTTCGTTGGCTTATCCTATTATTAGCTTCTACGCATGTGGGTTTGTTAGTTGTTGTTCATGCAGGTTCATATGTATGAAGTCCTTATATGAATTATTTGCTATGTACATCTTTGTTTTGCAGGAGCATATTATTGCAAGAGCATTATTCATCTTTACATATTACTACGTATTATGTATATATATTACGTTTGAAAAGTCAATCTCTTAACATTGTTATTATGTGTACACTTTTGTACACATATCATACACTAATTCGTACCTTTGAATTAAAATTGTTAAAATATTAATTTTATTATTTTTATCATATGTATGATTATCACTTGTTACAAAATGTCACTTATAATATTTTTCATATTTATTTCTGTGTACTTTGTCAGATATATTTTATCTGGTTTATTTTTGTCTACTTTGTCAGATATATTTTATCTGGTTTATTTTTGTTTAAATTTTCAGGGTATCACACCAGTGCTAATGAAATGGGTTAATTTGCCTCTCTAATATAACATATGAAGTAAAATATTACCACAAAGATAGAGATCGACGTGGGCGGCGGGGATGATGATTTACATATATATGTTATTCATAATTATCAAATATGTGTACACACACATGTAAGGAAGTACCAAATCAAACTTTAGTCTGAGTAATGACATTATCATTTGTACACTTATGTTTCTATCTAAATCAAATCAAGGAATATTATTGTGGTGAATTCGGGGTATTTCGAATGAAATTGATTACATGGCCTAGTGACATTATTGAAACTGGATTTATCTTAGTTTAGTACTTTAGGTTAGGGGTGGGCATGGGTCGGGACGGTTCGGGATTAGGGTTATCCCGGTCCCGTCCCAATTAATAATAACGGGACGGGACGGTACGGGACAAGCCTTTGTCCTAGTCTTGTCCCATTTAAATCGGGACCGGGATGGTTCGGAACGGTTCGGGACGGTTCGAGACGTCCCAAACTAACAAAAAATAATCATTTGTAATTAATATATATTAGCATTTCTAAAGTATCATGCACCAAAATATTAACATTTTAAAAGTTAATTGATGTTCATCACAAGCTAAAAGCTACTACGTATTAGATTTTAGTTAGGTTTAGCAAAATTTGAAATTTAAATTTAAAACAAAGCAAAAATGAATTAGTTTATTCAAAATCATGTGTTCTAGCTGTGAGATACTCATATGTAGATATATAAAGTGGGATAAAAATCTATGTTAGTAAATATTCATGTTAGGTATTATTTTTAATTTAAAAATTAAGCTTGACGAACTAAAAACATGTTACCATTTATTTTTTGAGTTGACATTACACACTAGTCACATGCTACAAAATCTATATAGTTATTACAAACGGGACAACGGGACGGTTCGGGATAACCTTCCAATGTCCCGGTCCCGTTTTAAACCGGTACGGGACCGGTGCGGGACAAAATCAATGAGACCCAAACAGAACGGGACAACACCGGTACGGTTTCGGGATATACCGGAATGGGACAACGGGACCGGGATTCTTGCCCGCCCCTACTTTAGGTGCAATAATGCATTTTCTTTATAAAGTCCACCATGCCGTATGACCGTATCGAACTATCGACGACAAAAAGGGGTTTTTCGCCATGGCGTTACGTAAGGTTATTCTAATTCTTATTTCTAAAATGAAAATCGGCCAATAGAAATGTTTATTATTGGGTATCATTTTTAAATATGTTTATTATATGAAATCTCTTAAATAAACCAAATTGCAAGTCTTGTGACCCTTATTGGAATGACAAAGTCGGAGTTTTAGGTATTGGACTAATGTTGGTTATTAAAATTGGTCATTTCATCCTTCAAAAAAAAGTGGTCATTTCAATTTACGTCATCATCATGTGAATTTTTCCCTGCTAAGTATGAGTTTAATTTTCGTAGCTCCCATCCATGTGAAGTTTTAAAATAAGAAGGTTTAACGTGAAATCAATATAATTATGTTTTGGCCACCTAATCCACCTTCAGTCTGAAATTAGAGGAAGTATGATGACATTCAAAACGTGATACAAGGTTATCAATTAAAGATTAAGCATTTAATCATATTAATAATTCATAGGTAGTATATATTTCATCTTTTCCATAATCATATATTGACTTCTTGAGGATATACAAACACGTAGTTTGGGTGAGAAAGAGAGGCCCCAGTTCATGATTTGTTCAATTTTTGAAGCTAATTCTTCACCTTTAAAATGAAGAGAGAAATTTACACAATAAGGAAACAAAACTACGAAATAAAACTCATGTAGCGTACTATACATTGCTTCATAGAGTAGGTCTAGCGTACCAGCTGCCTTGAAGGGCTTGGAACGAAAAAAGATGGAGATAGGAATAACGGGGTAAGGATTACTAACGGAAGGTAGGGGTGGACTCGGGCCGGGCCAACCGGCCCGGAACCGGACCGGCCCGCTACTGTGCGGGCCCGGACCGGCCCGGTCACCCGGTTCTTGACCGGTTCGGGCCACCCGGCCCGGTTGTATAGCGGTCCGGGCCCGGGCCTCCATTTGTGTGTACAAGATGGATTAGCGGCATTAGGAAATGCTTTGGAGGTAGTGAAGGGGGGAATTAAATTGATTTGGGCTAACACTCCACTAAAAATGCAATGGCGACAATATTTGAAGGAAAGACGTGTCAATTATTGTGCTTTTCCTAAAGATTTGTCTATTCGTTGGAATAGTACTTATAACTTAATTCAAGTACTTATTAGATATAAAGAACATTTTCCTGCTTTTTTAAGACAAACTTGTAACTATATTATAAACCCGGCTGACATCGACACTTGTGAAAAAATTGTTAATGTTTTGGTATATTTTAATAACGCAACTCAAACTTTTAGTCATGTTTATAAACCTACCGCAAACGAGTTTTTTGTTGAAGCTGTTAATCTCGCCGGCGCATTTTTAGAATTTTCCGATGCCGCTTACGTTAGTTATTTTTGTGATTTCATGAAACAAAAATTTTTAAAATATTATTCACATGTTCCGCATATATATGGTATTGCATTTGTTCTTGATCCTCGTTATAGACTTGCCGCGTTGCCAAGTTGTATAGATTACTATTATAATTGTTTTTTTCCAACTCAAGAGTTCGATGATAATCCCATCGACCCTAAACAAGAATACAACGAGGTTAGTAATTTATTTCATCAATTGTATAATGAATTTTATGCACAATATGGTAATGCACCCCCTCCCATGCCGCGAACATCTTCTTCATCTAAAGGAAAATCACTTTTAAAATCTGCATTTGGTTCTCTTATGAAAAAAAGTAGAGCAACTCCCGCTACTGAACAAAGCTCAGTTAACGAGCTTTCTATCTATCTAACATTGAATGTTGATTATGAAGTTGGGGATGATTTTGACGTCCTTAAGTGGTGGAAGGACAATGAAAGAACGTTCCCGGTTTTATCAAAACTGGCTAAGCAAGTGCTAGCAATGCCGATATCAACAGTTGCCGTGGAACAAGAATTTAGTGCGGCCGGCAACGTCCTAACCGATTATAGAACGAGGTTGAGCCCGAGCTCTCTTGAGACGCTAGTTTGCTTCCATGATTGGTTGAAGGCCAAAAGAAGAACTCAAGAAATGACCATCGCTCCCACCCGCCACTTTATGGAGGAAACAACCACCGAAGGCGGAGATTCCGATTGATTTTTTATTTCAAAATGTATTACATTTCTTAAATGCATCCTAAAAATACTTGAATTATTTTATATTATTGTGTACATCAATTCAATAATTCAATTCAATAAAATTAATTTGTAAACTTGTACTTCATATGTAGCACTTCTCAAATTAATTAATTGGTTTTAAACTTATAACTTACAACTTGAATTTTTTTTGTAAAATGTAAAGGCTGTTTTTAAATATGTAAATTAATTAATTTGTTACAAACTTACAACTTACAACTTATACACCTATTTTGTAACATTTGTAAATTATAAATCAAATCACTTTTCTAAGTAAAAATAGTTTTACTTAATTAAAAAATTAAAAACATTTTCCTCACACAATATGTATAATTTTCTAAATCATATCACTTTCCTTACACTTTTCTAAATCAAATCACTTTTCTATTCTCAATTTCTCAAATGTACCTATGTACTTCCTATATCAACATAATATGTAAAACATTTTCTTCAATTCTCAAATGTACTTCCTATTTCAACATCATGCACTTGAATTTTGTTTTTAATAACAATTATTATAATAATATAATATATAAAAAAAAAAAAAATTAAAAGGACCGGCCCGAACCGGGCCCGGCCCGTGAACCGGACGGGCGGCCCGGCCCGAACCGGACCCGGGGTTACCCGGGCCGGTTCCGGGCCTCCCAAACCTTGAACCGAGGCCCGGCCGGTTCACGGCCCGAACCGGGCCCGGCCCGAACCGGGTCCATCCCTAACGGAAGGATGCCAACCGTTACTTCGAAGGTATAAATTAATGAAATAGAGTACAATACTTTAATCAGATGGTACATACTCATCTAGCTCTGCCATTACACCAACACATTTTATGTACCCAAAATAACCCTACCCCTATTCATGCTTATAATTTTGTATAAAGATTACAATTAGAGTCATATCACAGTTCACAATTGTGGACGGTACATGCACAAATATGATTTTAAGTTTAAACAAGTATTTTGCGGTCTGATGACATTAATGTGACACCTGTTGGGCCAGGAAATTTATATCAATGAATTGGCCCACGTCTATCAAATTAAGAGGAGTCAAAGCCCAATTTAACAAAGTGCATATGGAATGGATAAGTACTTAAAATACTTAGAAAGAAAGAAAGGCAGTTACATGGGAGCAAGTAGGAATCCGCCTATTCTTCTTGGCATACAAGTTCATCTACGATTACTCTAATATAATCAAGTTCAATAT